CGCAGTAATAGCTACTTTGTGAAGGCTTTGGAGTTTTGTTTGAGATGAATTAGAGAATTTCAAATGGATGGAGGCCAACCATGAGGAAGTTTGGGATCCCATGAATATTTTGGCTTTTACTTTGTATTTTCTTTTCCGGATTTTTGTAACTATAGTCTTGTGCATATTTTTGCCAACGGAAAATAGTTGGCTAGAGTAACTTGTTTCCCAATCTTGTTTGGGATTTTATTTATTTTGTTATATTTTTCTATCAATAGAATTCCCTAGTTTCTTATTAAAAGAATCTTTAATTTTTTTTTTTGATTCTTGTGTTTGTCTGGCGATTGTGTGAACCTTGAACAATCTCACGAGACAATTGCTTGATCCTGCACATTTGATTGTCAAGGAAACTCTAAGGTTTAAGGTTTTAAATCTTATGTAGATGATCATAATGAGGTTTGAACCATTCCCTATAAGTTCATTTACTTTTTCAATACCTCAAGTGGCCTATGGTGGTTCTTTAAGGTTTATTTGGAGAGTGTATGACATGGTTGATTAGAATCTCCTTGAAGCCCTCTCAGAAAAGGTTTCGGCAACAAGTGGACCGTGTGGGTTAATGTGTGCCTTACAAATACCTCATTTTCGATCCTCATATGTTGGGAGGCCTAGAGGTCGTTTCAAAGCTTCTAGGGGGACACCTGATTTCTCTATTTCCCTTTGTGATAGTTGTAGATGTTATGAAGCACAGACATGTAAAAAATGCTCAAGTGTCATTGTCAGACGTGCTAATTAGAGTGTCCTTTTTTTTTTTTTTTAATTTACCGGACACACTGGTGACACGATAGGGATACAGCGGGGACTTGATATTAAGAAAAATAAAAAAATCCATGAGCTCCAGGCGTCAAACCCTCCATAGGTAACAAATGAAGAAAGGGAGGATAAGGAAGAGTCAGATGGGAGATGAACAGTAAAAAAGTGAAATAGAAAAAGGGGGAGTTGAAAAATGAAGATGAAAAGGAAAAATATCGAAGAAGAAGAGATAGAAGAAGAATAAGAAGAAGAAAGAAGAGAAGTCAAGAAGTTAATGACGGAAGACAAAATCTTACTTTTTCTAGAAGCATTGAAGTAGAAGAAGAATCATAATAGAATAGAAGAGTTAGATGGGAAGAAGAAGAAAAGATAGAAGAAAAAGAAGAAAAGACTAGAAAGACTCACAATTTCTAGGAGCATTAAAAGAAGAAGAAAAGACAGAAGAAAAAGAAATGAAGAAGAAAAAAGCCGAATAAAAGTAAGAAGAAAAGTCACATGGGAGGAAGAAAAAAGTCTAGAAGAACTTACAATTTCTAGGAGCATTAAATGACTGCCGCACATGATATCAAATTGACAGATGGAGCATTTCTCCTCCAATTTTAGAACTTATATGGGCTATTAGGCCACTATATTTTACCAAATCTTCTTTCTCAATTATAAAAAACATCATATCTAAAATATTTATATTTCTATTTTTTCCTAAATTATTGAAGTTTTTTTTTTAAATATCAAATAGTTTCGTTAATACTTCCATAATTTAAATATCACTACTACATCAAAATATGCACGATATATATTTTTTATATTAAAAAATCAACGTGTTCCCAAATTGTTGTGTCCTACTTTTTGGAAATTGACATGTCATTGTGTTCATGTCGTATCCGTCTTGCGTGTCCCCGTCTGTTTTTCTTAGTGCAAATGTGTTTAGTGGCCTTCTTGTGGAATGGATAAGGGAAGGATGCTTTTAAGACAGTATACACTTAAACCACCTCCAATCTGCCAACGATACACCCTTATTTTTAGCTGATTAGCGAGATCCTAATGCATATAGATACAAATGGACCAATGAGAGCAAGAATTTTCAGGAACATTTCATTGCTGAGTAGAATTATTTCATTGCTTCTTCTCCGGGAAAAGACGTTCACGACCCGTAGACCTTCTACTTCCATGCAACATTGCTCCGTTAGGCTCAAACATATTAATGACGAGGAAGACATTTTTCCTCACTTAGCTCAGTAACTCATGTGCTAAAGTGAAGTTTAAAGTTCTCTGCCCTTAAAATTAATCTCGCCAACTTAGTGCTTGTTGGCCTATTTGAGTGATGAAAGGGATATTGTCCTTGCTAATTTCAGGAACCCTGCGCCTAAAACCTTAAAAAAATTTTTCTGCCTTGTTTGTTGGCCATGGATTAATAGATCAAGTCTTTGTTACTGAATTGTATTTTCATGGGTGAAAAGAAAACTGCATCGAAAGAGCTCGTAGTTGGTAAAATCCAGGCTGTGGCAGAGCTTTCTGTGGGGCCAGAATTAGTCTAAAAAAATTTGGGGAACTGTGTGGCTGGCTAATGATCCCTTAGGGGGAAGTCCTAGAAAGAAAGAGTTTTGGGAGTTCATTAAAGACCAAATCACAAGAAAGTAGCCTACTAGCCAACTGAAAGTACATCTCTCTTTCTAGAGGCGATAGGTTGACATTGACCCTCTTGAATGCTACTCTATCAAGTGTTCTTTGGTACTTTCTATCCATCTTTAGACACTCAGGAAGGTGATTAAGACATTGAAGAAAAACTTCAGAGACTTCTTTTGGAAGGGAATCAAGCGTGAAGGGGTCCCTAATGCTATTAATTGGAGATCACCTCTTTGTGTGTTTCCAAAGCTGGTGCTGGTATAGGCGGTCTCGGTCTTAAAGAAAAGAGAACCATAGCTCTCCTAGTGAAGTGGGGTTAGTGATTTTTGATGGAGAAAAATGCTCTTTGGAGAATCATTATGGCCAGTAACTATCAACTTTTGAAGAGGAAAGAATCCCTTACCCAAGGCACCTAAAGATTCAAAGGCCCTGGAGTTCTATTTCAAATTGTTATCATAAAGCAAAAATATGGTACAAGCCAGTTGCAACCCCTTATTTCGGACTAAAATATACATTATGCATAAGTCAGGCCATTTAATTTCTTGGGTAGTGAGCCTTAAGTCTGAACCCCAGAGGGTTTATTTTAGTCCTTTCATGGGAACCCCTTGGAGTTTGGGTTTTTACCATATTTATTTATTATTATATCTTTTTGTATTTTAAAATTGGATCTTATCCATGATCAGAAGTATAGGAGTTTTATTATTTCTTCTTGAGATTCATAAACCAAGTGAAATTGAATTGAAAACTGCACTGAATTTGTGATTTAAATGTTGATTATTATGAATCCACTATTAGGGGCTCTAATAAATGCAATAATTGAATCTGCTGTTTCCTTCTCTAGTTGATGCATGCACTAGTTAATGCATCGTGTGGGAAATAAAATGAGAAGAAAATTGAGGGGTGTATGACAGGAAGTACAAAAAAAGAAAAAGGAGATTAGAGAAAAGTGACAGGAAGGAAGAGTAATAAAATACTGGATGACGTACCAGGAAAAGATGACGATGATGGTGAAGAAGCATGGGTTTAAGTGAACTTTAAGGGAGCATTTGATATGCGGGGAATGAAATATGGGAATGTGATGCTCGATCGTTAGTTGGTTGTGTATGATACATGGGATAAGAATTGTAAAACGTAATTTCAATTTTGATTTACTTATTCTTTAAAAGTTAATTGTATCTCTTATGAATTTATAATTATGTAGAGTTAAATTAATTTTATTAATAATATTTTTTTGAATAAGTTACTTTATATTAAATCTAAAATTAATTATTTATACTTAAATTAAGTAATTAATATTTGTAAATTTATCCCAAGGAGTTGGCACATTGGTGTGATGTTTGAGTGTCAACACTCATGTTGCAAGTTCAAGTCTCAATGTTTCCTAAAATAAAAAAATATTTGTAAATTATTTTTTATGGGTGTAGCATGTAAATGCACAATAGTACCACTGAACCCCCTCTGCCCGCCTGCCTGCCCAGCCCCAATTGCATAGTGGATGCCTAAAAGGTAATTTCAAAGATTAGGATTTTGACAGAGGGAATTATTAATTTTTTGGTGAAGGAAGAACAAGTCCTTTGTTTCCTGATGAAGGGTAGGGTCACAAATCGCTGACTAAGGATGCAAGTCATTGTTTCTCACAACCTTCTTATGCTAATATTTCCAATTTTTTAGATAATATAATATATGTAACCTCGTTTGGTTTTTGTAGGTTGGGAGGATGTCTTATTTTCCCTCCTTGTACTCTTTCGTTAATGAAAAGTAAGTTTTTTATCAATACATATACACACATTCCTAATTATCAATTTATAAAATATACCTTTTACTGTTTTATTAGTCTGATTCTAGGTTGCTAACTGCTGATGTCAAGAGAATTGGTAGGTTGACAAGAGTTGTTTATGGGGAGGGGAGGTAGAAGAAAACAGAGAGGGGGTACCTCACTTGGTAAAGTGGGTGCTCTAAACCCACATCTATGGTGGCTTGGAGTTGAAACTACCTCGTTATTAAGAACCAAGCCATCCTAGGGAGATGGCTCATTTGATTAGTGGCCACGGGTAGGATTATCTCCGATGCACTATTCACAGGAGATATACCATTTTCCTTCAACTCTAATGATCAATTCTTGCAGGCAAGCTGTGGATTATTGAATCTTCAATTAAAATCATTGTACATTTTCCACTAGTGTCTAGTGCTAATTCCTTCAAGTTTGGTTGAACTTGAAAAGGAGCAAAAGCATTTTTTAACAACGTTAATGGGATAGAGAATGGGTGATTCACTTTGCGTCTCTACTATTGCTAGATCTCAAACTGTTATTTTCTTTCTTTAATTTTCTTTATTTTTCTCGTTCTTTTTATTTTGAGCCCTAGAAATTACTTAAGGTCAGGGCTTTTGCATGTATAGCTTTTGTAAAGGTTGCTTGGGGGATCCTATGTTCTGCTTCTTTACTCTTCCATCACTGTTACTGTATTCCTGTGCCTTTCCTTGCACTATCATTTCTCTTAATGGAAGGCTGATTTTTAATTTTAAAAAGCTATTTGGGAACAGTATACTGCAGCTGCTGCTCACATGGCTTATTCTCTTCGTTGTCACAGGACAGCCAAAACGACATCTTCTTACAACTGGTTGGAGTGTGTTTGTTAGTGCCAAAAGATTGGTTGCTGGAGATTCTGTACTTTTTATATGGTAACTATTCCATTTTCTTTATGTGTGTTCCATTCTATGCATCCCATTTTGGAGTTAATAATTGTAACACCCTGATTCATTTATCTAGGAACGAAAAAAATCAACTTCTTTTGGGTATTCGGCGTGCCACAAGACCACAAACTGTGATGCCATCTTCTGTTTTGTCAAGTGATAGCATGCACATTGGGCTCCTTGCTGCTGCAGCTCATGCTGCTGCAACTAATAGCTGTTTCACAGTTTTCTATAACCCCAGGTTTGAAAATATTCTCTCTTTTGCTACTGTTACAGCTGTTTTATAATTTAGTTTGGCCCTTCTTAAAACAATTTCTTTTGTAAAAAATAATTCCAGGGCTAGCCCATCAGAGTTTGTCATCCCTCTGACAAAATATGTTAAAGCTGTATTTCATACCCGTGTTTCAGTAGGGATGCGTTTCCGGATGCTTTTTGAGACTGAAGAGTCAAGTGTTCGAAGGTATGATAGCATTCAATAGTTCATTATCATCTGTTTGATTTACGAATATGCTTGCATACCTCCCTCTACAGCACTTCCGGTTGTCATATTGTTTTTCCTATCAGTATTTTTCTTTTCCCAACATTTGTTTCTGTAGACATTCCTTGAAAGCTGAAGTTAAGTGTGTATTGGTTGAATTTTGTTAGAACTTTATTTGGACCATTCAGTTGGAGAAAAACAATAGGATTTTCTTGGGTAGTGAGATTATTTTTTCTGTATGGGAGGCTGGGAGCATGTTACTTTTGTAGCCCTTTCTTGAATTCTTGGTGCAAACTTTACTAACTGTTTCTGTAGTTTCAGGTTATCTTTCCTTTGTGGTAATCGAAAGGCTTTTTCTGTAACTTTCTTAGCCTGGGCTGAGGCTTTACTCCCCCTCATTAAAAAAAGAAAAAAGAAAAAAGAAAATAAAGAGAAGGAAAAAAGATAAAGGGATATTCTTGCATTCCCATTCTGAGAGTTTATTTCATTTAAATGAAAAAAGTTGTTTCTATTGGCAATGCATTCACTTCATGTCATTTTCAGATGGTTGTGTTTCCGTAAAATAAAAATGGTTGTTTATCTTGGGTTTAATTACCTTTTCATTTACATCTGATAATTTGTAATTTTTAAAGGAGTTGAACAAGTCACAATTCTGCAAATTTACTTAGTCCGTGATAGACTGAATATAATTCTTCCTAGGAGCAACAATTGATCTGTATTTGAATTCAAGGTTTTGTTTTTTTTTTAACTAATTAAATAATGACCATATGATACAAATAATAATAATAATAATAATAATGACCATACAATAACAATTACATCATTTTTCTAGAGAACCTCTTTGTTTTTAAACTCAAAAAAGTGACAGCGTGATAGGAATGCCTTTGGGTAATTAGGATATAAATAGGATGTTAAGGGTCTATAGTAATTAGCTAAGGATTTTGTTGGTAGGGATTTGTTATAAATAGAGTCAGGGGAAAAGGACGAAGGTAGACAATTGTTTAGTTGATTTAGACTTGAGTGGTATTTCAAGAGAGTAGGTTCCATTAAGTACCTTGAATACTTGCAGTTATATTGTAGTGTTTCGATCTTCTATGTTACACTATTATTCTAGTTGTTTGGTTTCTATCTGCGGTACCTGGGTTTGATATTGTTTGCAAATCTTCTGATTTCTAGAGGGTGTTCGTGAAATTAGGAAGGTCGGACAATTAGTTAAAAAGGAAAAGAAGGAAGTTATTTGCCAAGTTATTGGTTATAAATAGAGGGGGTGAGTTGAGATGAAGGTAGACATTGTTTAATTGTGTAGTGGATTTAGGCTTGAGTGTTCTCGAGGGGAGTTTCCAAGTACCTCAAAATACTTTGTTTTATCTAGCTGTATTTTCTTATTGATGTTTCAATATAATTTCCTAATCTTATTCGTATCTTGTTAAAAAAAACAATTTCCTAGTCTTATTGTTTACTACCATCATCATTACTTGCTTGCATCATCAGCATGCAAAACTAACCTTTGAGTAGTTGCTGTTTTAAGATCTTTGCAATTACCCTATGTGTAATCACAAACCTTTTGTAGTATCCAATTAACCTTAGGAACCCATGTAGTTCTTGCAAATGTCGAGGAATGGGCCAATATCATAGCTTCTATTTGGTTGGGTCCAATGCACCTTGACCAAAAACGGATGCCCAATGTACTTGATCTTTGTTTGGGCAGAATAGTACTGCTCATTTGTCACCAACTTTAGTATCACCACAAACAAGACTTTCTGGTGGGTGGGTAGCGTGATTTCTAAAGTGGGGCTGTAAATGAGGATCTCATCATTCGAAAGATACATTGTCAAATCTCCAAGGTAATGTTGCAATTTGTCTTTCGCCAGTGTATGAAATGTAGCCCGGCATTCATCAACCTGAATGCATTACCTTAAATTTATTGTGCACTTCACGAGTTCTAAAGGTGTACTTGTGTAAATGAAGCTCTGTGGGGTTGGCATTTCAAAGGAAAAGAAAAAATATTGTGGAATTGTGTAGCCCTCTTTTGGAATCTTTGGATAGAAAGAAACAATAGAATTTTTGAGGATAAGTCTTCTTCTTTTGAAAAATTTTGTAATACAGTTCAGTTACACACTTCTTGGTGGTGTTATAGGCATAGAAAATTCTTTTGTAATTACAGCCTCTCTTCGATTTTGCAAGACTGGAGAGCTTTTCTTCATTAGTTCGTGGGAGGGGGAGCCTCTTCCCCTGCCCTTAGGCTGTTTTTTGTGGCCTGTGCCTTCTGTCTATAAAATGTTTCTTATCTAAAAAATACTTGTGTAAATTCTCAGCTTGGAGACAAGTTGGATGGTATCCTAATGTAAGATCAATCTTAAAAAATATTGGGTCCCTTGTAGCTCATCTAAGAGTTCTTCAATCATAAGATTAGAATGGTGTCCTAGTCAATGTCAAATCTCCAACTATCATTTCTAATGGGGATTGCATGACTATTGAAGAGATTCATGCTTATGCTAAATGATGTTTTTAACACAGTTCAAGAAAACCTTTCAATCTTGTCGTTCTAAAATTAGGAATAGTTTTAGTGTTATTAGATGATTGGTGCAGTCCACTCTTCAACAATAATGCCATGGTTGTCTTCTGTGTCGGTAAACTTGGTAAGATAGCGAAAATGTTAGAATGAGCACCAAATACATATTTTATTTATGCCTGGTGAGCACATTTTCTTAATTTTCACTCTCTCTTATCAATAGGAAATTTGGATAAATTAATATCCTAATAGCCCCCTTATTACTAAGGTGTATACGAGAAATAGAGGTAGAAAGCATAGTGGGCACTGAGCATACGTGGCTCTATCTGTGGGCCAAAGTTAGTTATGGGTTATTTTGGGAATATGTTGGGTGTATATAATAATACGCTGAGGAATGGAGGGGTATCTTTTTGCTAAGTATCTGATAGCGAGGCAGTGTGCGGGAGAGGTAGGGAGTTCCCTAGCCCTCCATTTGCCCCTTGTAATCCTCACTGTTTATCAATAATAGAGGATGGTTCTATGATATTTCTATGATCCTTTTGCCGAATGACTCCATCATGGTTTTAAAAGTCAAGCACATTGCTATAATTGTCTACTCATTTTGAAGATTCGATTTTTGGATGCTTTGGATGCTTCAAAGTTTTGAAGCTTTTGCCGGGTAATGGTATGGTTTGCTATAATGGTCTTCTTTCCTCCTATCAAGTTGAAGTTTTCTTGAGCTGTGAAGTCATTGGCAAGGTTTTGTGAAGTCTGAAATTTAGGCGGTTCAAGTGTGTTTGGGTTCAGAATTTTGTAACCTAGTCCCTCTCCGCCATTCTTTGTTTGCTTCGTTTGCTGCTACTCTTATGTAGATTTTCATGAATGAATGTAACATTCTGTTTCCTTAGAGAAGAATATAACTGCATCATGGTCTTCAACGACACTTGCTAAGTTGTTTTAATTGGGTAAAGCAATGTTTATTACCTCCTATTTCGGAAGCTTAAGTAACAAGGGTAAGACCACCGGCCACTGGCCACCGGGTTTATTCTGATTTTTGGAGTTAAAGTTACCCATCATTAGCCTCTTTTGGCTCTTCTTTGGACTTCTGCAGAAGCTTCCCTAATGCTAGGTAACGGGTTTATAGATGGGATTCGACCTTGTATCTCATCAAGTTCGTTGTTGAGTTCAAATTAGAATTGGAATTTGAATGCTCTCTTGTTCTCAATAATCCCTTTTGAGCTTTGTATCATCGGTAGAACCCACTATTATTTCATAAATATCTAGTTGTTGGCAATAGCGAGTGAGGATATTGAAGTCTTTTGTGACTAGCATGTCCTCATATCTCAGTCCATGGATAGATCCCTCAATCTCAAATGACTGGGGCCATGTTTTCCAGATCATAAGAAATTCCGTGAGCTGCTTCCCAGATTTTATTTGCGATTGAATAGGGGAGACAGTTATCACCAATTCAGTTGTCATAGACTTGATTAGCTAGGAAACCGCCACTCAGAAATTTAAGGTGTTCGCGCACAAGGATATGCAGAAAATTCTACATATGAGAATTATAACTGGTAAAAGAAAAAGAGAGGTCCAAGTTGGCTGGCTTAAATGGGCAAGGTGCATGTATTTATTTCAACACCGCACCCCAGGTTCATTACTGCACCACCTTTGATAAATTACAGCACTTAGCTTCCCTATCTCTCCCTCTTGAAACTAAGGGAAATAACTACCAATATTTGCCTGTTGTCCTTACCTTATTTCCACCCCTTTTATCTCACGGTATCTAACAACTTTG